AATCACTGCAGTTACATTAATAACACAGTTGTTAAATAAATCTAATTTCCCCATTGAATTTGTCAGGTCACAAAAGCTGATCACATGACCCTGGGACGCAGCAACTGTAATAAATAAATACTAAGTGCCAAATGTCCAAATTTTGATCACTTGACCATGCATGAGGATGCCGCAACTTCATGTGAAAAACTGTCATAAGTCCCTTTCTTTCAATGCTATTGTAAATTTGAACAGTCACTAAACAAATGATTGTAAGCAGGGGTGAAATCCAGCAAGTTCTGACAGGTTCTGGAGAACCGGTAGCGGAAATTTTGAGCAGTTCGGAGAACCGGCAAATACCACCTTTGGCTGGCTCCAGAGTGGGGTGGGAATGGAGATTTTGCAGTATCCTTGCCCTGCTACGTCCACCAAGCCATGCTCACCAAGCCACACCACACCACACCCACCAAGCCATGCCGACAGAACCGGTAGTAAAAAAATTTGGATTTCACCACTGGTTGCAAGTCGAGAGCTGTCCAATCGACTCTGGGAAGCTTACAACATAGAATACTAAATTAAAACAATCAGAAACATAAACAAAAGCAACTTATTGAAGGTTTGAGATACTTAAAGGAAAAGAATAAACCCAGATCTTTCCCCTCTTGGTATCTACTTTTATGATGAAGAAAGCACTAAATGTTTTTGCTCAGCGAAGAGCCCATAATCTTTAAAGATTTTATCATTAAGAGGACGAAATCAAGATCTTCCCAGTCTTTTGCTATTCAATACTCTCAGAAAAGCCACAGAGCCACCAGAGAATTATGAAGAACAAGGGGAAAATTTGTCTGAATTTGAAAATCACTTAGCTCATTGTAGTGAACTGTTCCTCAGCATGATTTATAACTTATTAGTGAAACATAACTCAGAACCTCAACAAGTCAAATACTGTGGTGGTGGTGGAGAAAATAAATGTCATGAATAAAATGGACGTTGCACTCTTTTTCCTTCCTGTGTTTTGGACATGGCTGGGGTGGGGGGATCAATCCCTGCTTCTCTATTTCCCTAACCCTACGAGATTCAAATTGATCTTCCCTGCCCCAGACAAACCCTTATCCCAGCCACGTCATTCTAGACCAAAGAATAGAAACCTCCTCACCAGGACACAGCACAGACCAAGAGTAACCCTTACAAAGTTTGAGATAGCTCTAGGAATTTGCAACCTAGAGATACTCCAACCTTGCGTCCTCAACCAGGAACTTGCTCCTGATTATTATTATTTATATATTTATTAAATGTATTACCTCCACATTCTATCTTCTTAATATTTCCCCAGCTCTGCTGCCCTCTGAAAGGGCTGTTTTGCCTAACTACAGAAATAAACTTGGGTGCATGGACAATGACCTACCTAATTTCTCTGAATGTTGCCAGCCAATCAGATTTTAACATTCTTGCCTTGTGGCTTCCAGAGTCTATAAAAATCTTCGCTTTGTCATTGTTCCAGGTGTCTCTTTCTTGCAAAGCAGGGACCGTTCCCTTTGCAATAAACATGGTTCCTTCTCTGCGTGTCCTCTGCATTTCAGAATTTTCCATGCATGATTACATGGATGCAAAATTAGAATACAGTATCTTTATAATGCCTTGGTAAGATCACACATGGAATACTGCATCCGGTTTTGGTCACCACAATGTAAAAAAAGATGTTGGGGCTCTGGAAAGAGTACAGTGAAGAGCAACAAAGATTATTAAGGGACTGGAGGCTACAACACAACATATAAAGAACAGTTGCAGGGACTGGATATGGCTAGTCTAGAGCAGTGACGGCTAATCTTTTTCCCGTTGCATGCCAAAAGCGGGGGAAGTGCGGGGGGTCATGCGTGCATGTGCCCACACCCATAATGCAATCCCCCACGCATGCCCCACCCCATGAATGCATGTGTGACCCCCCATGCTCCCTCCCGCATGCACGCATGAACCCCCGTACTCCCCCACCCCCCTGCACATTTGTGTGCCCCCCGCAGCCCATTTTGGGCTTTGCAAGCCTCCCTGAAGCCTACTGGGACCAAAAACTGGCCATGGGAAGCACCACTCCCTCCGCAGGCTATTTTGCCGTAGGGGTGTGGCATGCCCCCGTGCTCCCGCTACCCCTGCGCATGTGCATAAACCCCCTCCCGCCCCCACACATGCACGAGAGACCCCCGCGCATATGAATGCGTCTCCTGCATGAGCCCCGCACCAGAGACCTGAAAATCAGCTGACTGGTGGGAGGCACACGCATGCGCGGTGGAGCTCTGCTGGGTGACAGCTTGCGTGCCCGCAGAGAGGGCCCCTCGTGCTATCTGTGGCACATGTGCCATAGGTTCACCATCCCGGGTCTAGAGAAAAGAAGGACTAGAAGTGACATGATAGCAGTGTTCAATATGTGAGGGGCTGCCACAAAAAAGAGGGGGCCAACCTATTCTCCAAAGTACCTGAGGGAGTATTATATGCTTTTTATTGAAAAAAGATTTCTGATTCTTCTCTATGGAACAATGATTAATTAAATTATGGGATTATACTTCGATATCTAGAATAACTTCATATCGGAAGAGTAAATCTGATGTAGAAGTTAGTTTTATTTGGAAACAATTTCAGGATTCCAATTTATATATATTGTTGTTATATATTGTACCACAGTCCAAATTTGGCTTCTAGAATTTATGTTTTAATCTGATGTATAGTTTATATATTATTTAAAGTATTCTTTCAATACATTGTTTATTATTTATAATTTTTCTTCTTCCTTTATTGATTTCAACTATGCTAACCAAATACTTTTTTCAGGTCAGTGGAGACATGGCTTGACTGAAAACTGAGAATGAAATCTTTTATAATATGCTAAATCATTAATGGCGCATTAGACTATATTAAACATATGACATTTTAGATCTGCAAGGTTGGTGGCAGTCAGCTTCCATGTTTATATGGCTTATCCCCACTTATCTCCTTATATTACCTATTTTCTTTTAAAGTAGTGTTTGTATTAGCATTGTTTCTTTTCCTCTGTTGTTTGGAAGTATAATAAAGGTTAATAAATTGAACAAAATTTAACTACAGATAGTCCTCAACTTGCAAAAGTTCATTTAGTGACCGTTTAAGGTTATAATGGCAACTTGTGACTGTTTTTCACACTTAAGACTGTTGCAGCATCCTCATGGTCACATGATCAAAATTTGGACATTTGGCAACTGGCATGTACTTATGACAGTTGCAGTATCTTGGATCATGTTTTTGACTTTTGCAAACTTCTGACAAGCAAAATCAATGGGGAAACCAGATTCACATGACCACTCTGTTACTCACTTAACAACTGCAGGGATTCACTTAACAACACTGGCAAGAAACATCATGAAATGGAGCAAAACTCACTTAATGACCATCTTGCTTAGCAATGGAAACTTTGGTCTCAGTTGTGGTCGTAGGTCAAGGACTACCTGTACTTGGGCAAGTTGCACTGTCCTGGAGTCATATGTATCCTGGGATCATGTCATATGAGCACCAGTGGTGGGTTCCTCCCGGTTCTGCCTGGTTCCGCCAAGCCGGTAGTAGTGACGATATGACATCACTGAACCGGTTCTGCCACCCCCTCCCCCGCCCCCTCCCCCTGCGTTATTCTTACCTTTTATTTGGCCCCACCCCCAATCTATTGCTGCCTCCTGAGTCCCAGCTGATGGGCTATAAGGAAAAAACTGTTTAAACTCTTGCCGCTGGGCTTCAAAAGGCCGCCCTACAGCTGATCAGTGTTAAAAGGCAATGTGGTGGTAGACTGATGCCTCCAAAAACAAATGAGTAGACCGGTGCCTCCAAAAATAAATGAGTAGACCGGTACAGCTCTGCAAGCAGTTAAAAGCCTGGTAGACCAATACCTCTGCTAAATCCTAAAGAATTGTCACATGACCATCAAGCCTCGCCCACAAAATAAGCCACACCCACAGAACCAGTAGTAAAAAATTTTAGAACCCACCCCTGATGAGCGCCCTTTATAACCTTCTCAGCCAGCTTCTGACAAGCAAAATAAGCGGGGGAGACCAGATTTGCTTAATGATTGCACAATTTGCACAACACCTCCAACGATCCATTTAATGACCGTGGTAAAAGGTCGTAAAATATAGCAAGACTCACTTAACAACTATCTTGCTTAGCATTGGAAATTTTGGGCACACAGCTGGTAATTGAACTGAAGGAGCTTCTTCGATGAGAAGCGAAATGTATTCAAAAGAAAAAGAACAAGGAAGTCCAGTTGCCTCCTGAAAGATCCCCTTTGGGACAACCATGACCTGGATGGCTGAGAATCTCTACAGACATTTAGCTATACAATTTGGAATGAACGCCCTTTGAATGGTGTGGGAGAAGGAATGGATTTCCAACGAAAAATTGCAGACTACAGGAACCAGGAGAGCTACTCAGGTGACCCTGAGGACACTGATAAACCTCCAAGTGCTTCAAGAACCCTCTAAAAGGATGCAAATGACCAGCTGTCTGCAAGGAGTATAAATCCTTCCATTCTCCACTATTCTGTCAGAGCTGAAGAAGCTTCTTGGATGAGAAGCGAAACATCTTCAAAAGAAAAAGCAAGAAAGTCCGGTTGCCTTTGGGACAACTATGACCTGGATGACTGAGAATCTCTACAGACTTCTAGCTGCAAAGATTATATGCCTTTTTATTGGAAAATATCTCTGATTGCCTCAATGGAACAATGATTAATCATTTTGAACCTTGCTGGGGTTTCACCTCTTTGGCCAGCCTCAGCAGGCACAGAGTTTTGAAATTTGGGGGACGGGGGAGGAGGGTCACCACTAAAATGTTATCTCTCTTGTAGTCACCAGGACATTTGGGAGAGTCTCTAAGCTGCTAGCCTTGTTTGGAGGAACTCAGGAGGAGGATCCGCCCTTGAGCCACGATAAAAGTAAGACATGCAAGAGCTGATAACAGCTTTTGAGACATATTACTTATTTTTTCCTTGACGTGCTTCAGATGCACAGACACAGAGCTGTTGCTTGGCGAGCAATCAAGACTGTTGTGCGGTAAGATGGAAATCTCTTCCCTCTGCTAATTCCTTACCCCTGCCGGTTTGGGTCTCACACCTCGAAACTAGGGATAGGTTCCATGGGTGCTGTTATTGCTCAAATATTCAGCTCCACCTGCAAAATGCAATTTCGTTTGTCTATGTCTGGTCCCTCTGCTCAATCTCTTCCCTCTTTATACGAGGGTGCGCATTTCTGCACACTTGCAAATGACTCACCTTCTGAATTTGAGGCTCTGAAAAACACAGGAAGTTGGCCAAAATGAACAAATAACTTGGGCAATGTGTCATTTTTATGCAGTTGTCTAACTTTTTGGTTTTGCTGCTTCTGGGGCCCCTGTCTATAGAAAATGCGCTTTGTATCTGCTCAGAGGTACTCTTTCATCCTTTGTCTATCCTGGGGATAAATCAAGAAAGGGCAAAATAAGAAAAAAAAAAGAAAATAAAAAGATGGAACCTATTTTTTCAACCCAGAATACCTTATCCAAGTCTTCAGATTGGTCCCACAGACCTGATGCTATAGAAATGGGTGGAATTAGCACGATTGCCACCACTCAAAGCCACTTCCTCTATGAATATAACGGTTCTTCCTTTTTTACATTTTCCAGTAGCGCCACCTGCTCAGTTTCATTCACTTCTTCCTGCCCAATCAAGCGAGAACGGGGGAAACGGAGGCAGCTGATGGTTAGCAGACAAAATCCGTTCCTTGAAAGCCCCAGGATCCATCCTGGCCTTGTCTGAAGAAACCTAGAAGAAGGTATAGCAGGGTGGGTTGGTGGGCCGGCAGGCAGGGGTGGGATGCACCTTATTTATTCAGTCCCTACAAAATGGTATGTGTGGAGGAAATATCAGTAGGAAATTGTTTCAGGGAGTCAAGGTAAAGGAGGCGAGCGTATGAGACTGGAGAGAGGGATAGGTTTCATTTGTCATACTTCAACCAAATGCTTGATCGCCAAATGTAGTTGGATATCTATGCCTCAATTTTTGGATTTGCAATAACCCTGCAAGGTGGATGAGGATTCTGATCTGGCAGAGCGGATGATGTGGCATGTAAGGCTCAACCAAGGGAGGTCTTCTCCAATCAAGGCCTTCTCCAATTAACCGGGCTCTGAGTACCATCATCTAGACCAGGCTGACACAGTCTGGAGAACACTAGTTTGGGGGCAAAGTTTCCCTACATCATATCGAAAAGAGGAGATGTTAGTGGGCTGAGAAAAATTTGAAAAGGAAATTTTTCTCAGCCCACTAACATCTCCTCTTTTCGATATGATGTAAGGAAACTTTGCCCCCAAACCAGCATGCAGATCAGAAGCCACTCTTCTGATCTTCTCTCAGTCTTCCAGAAACCAGCTTCATTGGAAGGAAAGTTGAATAAAGGCAGAAGCGAATGTGGTGGCCAGAACAGATAGTGTATGGTAGGGGGATGGAAATGGAGATGAGATTTGACTTCATGAAATAAATATTTCAGACTGATAAGCATTGTCATGCAGACTTCTTACAGATCTCACTGTTCTTCATCTAGTAGCAATCTTGAGTCTTCAGCAGATATATCCCGTGTCCAAATCCTAGCACTAAAACTCACTAATGGTTGTGCAGTGAATAACATGCTGCATCTGATGGGGTATGGGTTTCCATGCAGCAAAGAGCAGAGCTGCCACAAGGAAGGCGTCAACCCACCATAGTATTTGTACCGATTTCCTCACATCAAGTCTTACAGCAAGACTAGATTTTTACTTGAATCATTTCCGGCCAGCCATGCCACAGCAGCACCGCTATATTCTCTCTGTCGAGATAGAGAACTAAGGACATCGCTCTGCCTGTTGAATGTGAAGAAATTGAACAGTTGAGACTGAAATAGAAATGATCAACGGCTTTCCTTAAAAACTCTGATAGCTGATCTCAGTTACTTTAGTGAGACTGATTACCTTTCCTCTCTTGCTAACATTTTTAGTTTCCTAATGCAATGTTTCTGAACTTCCACTAGTTTAAGATATGTGGATTTCAACTCCCAGCATGCTGGCTGGGGGATTCTGGGACTTGAAGCTCATAGATCTTCAAGTTACTGAGGTTGAGAAACATTATCTTAATTGCCTACATTTCCTTACAAGCCTCTTACTTTTCAACCTTCGGATTACTCTGGATCCCAGCTTTTATAGATGTAACAACTCCAGTTGTGCCACCTGGCATCTTCCTTGTTGATCAAGAACTCCGCCATGATGTGATGTCCTAGCCTGTCACCCTGTCCCAAAATCCAAGTTGCAGAAATGACAATGCTTCTGGTGCTTGTAGGACACCTCTTCTGCTTTGCAAGTCAGCCTAATTTTTATTTTATTTATTTTATTTTGTCGAATACATATTAGATAATATATATCTATATCTATATCTATATCTATATCTATATCTATATCTATATCTATATCTTATCTATCTATCTATCTATCTATCTATCTATCTATCTATCTATCTATCTATCTATCTATCTGTATAATCATGAATTGAATACATAAAATGAATACAATTAATACTAATTCTCAAACCTGACATTTAAAAACAACTGACGATGTGTAGATAAAGGCAAGCCACTTCAGGCCAAAATGGGGCAGTTTTCTCTTGCTGGTGAAAGAGACCATATATCAGCTGCTTCATCTGGTTTAGAACCTATCTGCATGTGATAATTCCTATAGGGCAGGGGTCTCCACACCTGGCAACTTTAGGACTTGTGGACTTCAACTCCCAGAATTCCTTAGCCAGCATAGCATGGAATTGTGGGAGTTGACGTCTACAAGTCTTAAAGTTGCCAAGTTTGGAGACCCCTTTTGCTATAGGGGCTTGTTTGTCTCCTGGTCTCCGGATGGAATTACCAAGAAGAAATGGTAGTGGGTTTATAAGAAAAAGTACTGGCTCTGAGGCAGGTGCAAGTCATGTAACGTTTAGAGGGGTATACAGGAGTTATCAAAGGGTTTTATTTTCAAAAATCTCTACATGCTCCAGTTATGATGTTCTGTTCCAGATTTGTCTTTCATTAACCAAATACACTTGGTTTTTTTAACTTTAATGAAGTACTGCTAGCAAAACAGTTTCAGCACCCTGGCATGGTGTGCATTGTGAGATGCAATGATGGAGTTTTAATGACCTTGATAAAAGTCACAGGGGGGAGAGGCTGCCCTAAGGCCAAAAAACAGCATCAGTAGCCATCCAAGATGAAATCTGGGGAGGGAGGGAACTCCGATTTGATGGTGAGCAAATTTTAAATATAATATTTAATATTTCTTTTTTTTTAAAAAAAATTAAACCCTCACTTCCTAAGAAAAGAGAAATAGACAGATGCTTTTTCAACATACTAGGAGCAAGCGAAGAGGAAAGTTTCTTGAGAAAGATAAAAAGTTGCAACACTAGAAAGCTGCTTTTTAGTTTCTGTTTCCTTGCACTCTTGCCAAACATCTTCATTAAGTGTATGAGCACTTGAAAGTTTGAAATCAGGTTCAAGCATTTTTCCCGCTCCTTTTTCCCTCCAATTTCTCTGTAGCCAACATGTAACACTCTCCTAGTTTTTAAATATAGTTGAAAGTTTCCTGTGGATAGTTCGGGACTTATTTTTCTCTCCAGTTTTCTATTGTACTTCCTTAAAATAAACCTCTCCCTATCTTTCTCCCTTTCCTCCTCTCCCTCTCCCTCTTCTTTTCTCCCCTCCTCTCCCCTCCTCTCCTCTCTCTCCTCTCCTCTCCTCATGCATGAAGAAAAGTCTCCAAACCCCTGAATTCTCATTCAGTTGTGTTGAGTGTGGTGCTGGTAGGAAATTTCCCACCCTATGAAACAGCAAGAAGAGCTGCAGGTCCGCCTTCAGGTTGACAAGCACATGGTGCTATCATCTCTCTTTTCCTCCTTCAACTTTGTCTCCAACATGAGACTCTACTGGGAGGGTGAAGGAGATGCTGGTTCAAATGGGTAAGCAACGCAAACGACCTTGTGTTTTATGCTGGGTTTGGTGGTCTCAGTAGCACCAAGAAAGTTCTAGAGGACTTCTAGTCTCTCTCAACGTTGGTGGCAGTCACTTATGAGATATTCTTTGCCATTTATATTCATCCACCTCCATCTTCTGTACTAGACTTCCCTTCCATGGCTCTGCCTCAAAGCTAAGTTCCTCCATGTGGCTAGGAGAATGATTACATAATAGACGGAGAACTCTACACTCACTTTGCAGCACTGGATTCCTTCCAAGTGTTGTTTGTCAAGACTTGAATAAGCAAGTCTTGTTTTTTTTCAGACCCATCATTATCATTGCCAGCCATTCAGCTGTGTCGAACCCTTGGCCACCCTATGGATCAGCATTCTCCATGCCCCTCTGTCTTGTACCGCCTCCTTCAGAGCGGCCATGGTCATCCTGGTGTCATCCTTTATAGTGTCCAGCCAGTGATACTAAGGCAGTTCCTTTTCCTTTTTCTGCTGGTCACTCTCAGCATGATTGACTTTTCGAGTGAGTCAGGTCAACCAAAATATGACAGCCTCTGTTTGGTGATCTTGGCTTCAAGTGATATTTTTGGTGAGGTTTCAGCTAAGATTTCTTTGTTTGTTATTTTTGCACTCCATGGGATGCATAATAGTCGCTTCCTATAGAGCAGGTGTATATATAAATATATATATTTTCCTATATATGTAGCTCCCGTTACTTGTCCCAGCTTCTGCCAACCTAACAGTTCAAAAGCACGTCACAAATGCAAGTAGAAAAATAGGGACCACCTTTGGTGGGAAGGTAACAGTGTTCCATGCACCTTTGGCGTTTAGTCATGCCAGCCACATGACCACAGAGACATCTTCAGACAGCGCCAGCTCTTCGGCTTTGAAACAGAAATGAGCACTGCCCCCTAGAGTCGGGAACGACTAGCACATATGTGAGAGGGGAATCTTTACCTTTACCTTTAAAGAGCATGAAAAAAGATTTCAAACCACAGGGTCAATTGTCTACAGAGATTCTCAATCATCCAGGTCATGGTTGTCCCAAAA